TCATTCTGCTTTAGCTTAAAACTCATCCGGAATAATTTCGTCAGAAAGAAAATAATGAATTCCGCAAGAATAAACTTCATTAGACTATTGACATGAAATGACTCTGATCGTAATAGCGCAAAAAAGAAACTGATTTTATCACTTGCCTCTCGTTGCATCAATCATTTGTAAATATCACCATTTAATCTAAATAGGCGGAACCCATTCAGTTTCGAAAAATATTTTGTTATCAAAACAAAAGGTAACACAACTACTCTCTGTATGGTAAAAAGAGAATAGAAAAGCTGTTCTCTTTTCAACTAAGTCATGATCGTCTTCTGAGGACATTTTTCTTCTTACCTTCTGGTAGTCTGTGTAATTGTACGATAGCATAGAGTGATGCGTTTTTTATTACAACTCTGTTCGATATCCAAACATGATTTGAAGCGAAAATCGAATCTTTAGCAATTCGAAAGAGAGCAATAATGTTGATTATTTATCTAGAAAAGTACTTAAATAGTGCCCGGATTAAAGTGAAAAGTGAAAACAAAGTAATTTGCGGTCGGAGCAAAACAGCAACAAAAAGTCAAAAGTACTTTATTCGAATATACTTCAAGAGTTACCCAACTACTATCACTTATGTATATATCTGCCTTTAGAGAACAAGTACAACTAGGCGATTCTTCTTCTTGTCATAAAAGTTCTGTTTTCTATTATCTGACATATCAATAACCAAGAACGAATCACGTCATACATTTTGCGTCGTTTGGAAGAAATATATATATATATATTTATTTATAGACGATTAATGTAAGAGTGAGCGAGTATATTTCTTTCTTTCTCTCTTTTCTATTCGGACAAAGAATAAGTTGCTGAGAATAGATATTCCACATATATGCTTAACTTGTAAAGCGTGTTCAGTTATCTGAAGACACAAACAGAACCTAAAAGTACATACCTAGTATATGACGGGGTGCAAATGTACTTATCAATGTGTGCAGAGGCATATATATATATATGTTGTATCAGTTTTGAAAATCATGACCTTGTGTATGCTCGTATAAAACTCAAGGCGAGAAGAATAACTATGACCAAGGTCACTGCCATTGATTACAAGGTTATTCGATCGTAATTATTGGCAAGACACTAACTTTTGTCGTAATGTGTCAGCTGAGAGTGATCTAATTGAATGTGTTATCTTCATATGAGAAGAAAAAAGAAAATCGAGAAAGAAATAGCAAGATTCTCCTTCCTCCTTTCTGCTTCTGCTCTCATCTCTTTTACTGAAGGTCTTCGGTATAGAAGAGCTCGCTTCAGTTTGATAATCTCAAGGTTCGATCCATATGAACTAACAGAACTCCAAACATTGTGCAATTGCCTTTTCTTTCTCGTTGTCTTTCAAATAAAGATTTTATTGCTCTAGAGATGTCTTCTGATTCCTTCTCTGTAGCGGAAGTTATGATTATGCAATAGTGAATGTTGTATCGTATGTTCAGCATTAATTCATCATCGTACATATATAAATGAGTACACACCCTTAAAAAAGAGAACGAGCGAATGAATGAGTGAATGAATGAACGAAGAAAAGAAGAGGTCAAGGTGGTTTATTGAATGAGAGAGAGAGAGAAAGCAAGAATTCAGGTTAATCAACGGTTCACATAATATTTGCTTGATACTATTAATATGATGATAGATATCAAATAAAGAAAAGAACAGATATGTAGGTTAGCGAATGCCCTTCGGTTCATAACTGAGGCACCCGATTAATTTGTCCGAAGACGAGTTCATTCTCTTCATCCTATTCTAATGATTGTGTACATGACAAACATTGAGTAATAGACAATGGTTGACATAGAATGTGAATTGAACACAAATCTAATTCTCATATATGAGCGGATGTTCTCCCGTTCTCGTTTGTGCTTGGAAGTTCAAGGCAACATTTCTTTTTCCTCATCTTCTCTCTGGCTTCACATTGGATCAGAGAACCTTGACACTACCCGAATATAAGCGCAAATTAGTAGAAAAGAGAAGAAGAGCTTTTTTTCCGCTTGTGCTGATAGAATGGCTCCATTTTATTCGTTCTATTTTCTTTTTTCAGCAGTATGCTAATATGAATGTAGCTTTATCAACAAATATTCAACAAAATCCGCATAGTATGTTGAAATCTTCTTCCCTTAACTATGACTTATCGGTTATCTTTGTTTAGATAAAAATAATCTCATGAGTTCATCTATACCCAATTTAACTGCTGCTGAATGTCGCCAATCTGAAGAATTGAATAATCACGTGATGAACTGTTTGAGGTACGTGAAGCAAAGCTGAAGTTTCGAATCTGAATGATGCGTTTGAATAGTTTTCAAACAACACGTTGTACAAGTGAATTTGTACGTAAACAGTTGCAACATACCATTCAGGGACGACAAAAGCCAACCAGTGGAAAAGAACTAACAGGAGCAACACAACAGAAGATGATGACACCACCAAATATTGATTCAAGTAAGTGTTGTTTTCTTCTTCTCTTCTTTGAATGACAGCAGTTGACATTTTGTTTTCTTTTTTCTAGGCCAAAAAGGAACTTATTTTCGCAGTCAGCTGTCTTCTCCAATATCCACCCCTCCATTACAAACCAACCTACGATCACAACAACATCCACAACAGGGCAAAACAACGATGTGATCTTTCATGAACTTCGAAATACCATTATTTTATTCAACTTGTTCTTCTACTTGTGTATTGATCACCCTTTTTTTGCATTCGTATGTTGGTAGTCGTAGTATCATTTACATACTATGTATGGGGAACTGGCATGGTTCAAAAGACGGATTTTGTTCGTTTTCGTTGTTTTTTCTCTCTGTTTTCTTTCCTTTTCTTTTTTGCTCATCATCTTTTTCTCTTGTTTCACTCTTTCTTTTTTAGCTATCGTCCGTATTTTCTCTCTCTCTCTCTCTTTTCGGTTTTCTCTTTTTCGACACATTTTCTGTGTATTGTAACTATGTTTGAAAAAAGGTGATGCTGGCAGTCCGACATGTGTAAAAAAGACAGATGTGTGCGTGTATGTTTATGTATGATTGTATGTACGTGCGCAGACAAACAAAACTATTCTTTTTCTTCTAATTTTTAAATACAATTTTTAGTGGATACGGCCGCAATCGATCTTCTTCTACTACTGAGTGAAATGCAGATTAAAATCGCTTTTTATTGATGTATAAGAACCGATTGCGAATCACACGTTTCCAATACGTATTGAACCGTTCGAAAATGTCAACATTTATTGACGTTGGTGCTTGTTTTGATACGTAATGTGACGATGATGCACATGCATAGGCATTATCTGCGTTAAAAAATACCTCACAGTCATCATTAGATAGATAACTGATTTGGAAACGGAGATGTTGCCGTGGAATGTTCATGTACTCAGCTAAAATTCCAGTTATGTAAACGTCCGACATTGAAATTAGTTTCTGATGTCGAGCAAATGCGGAAAGAAGTTTCAAACGTGCATTTCGAGTGATAATATAACCGAATCCGCTCATATAATCTGGATAGTAAGCGCACGGATATTCATCATGGGTTGTTATATAACGAACACTTTCTGATGTCAGATCATCGACATAACGAACAACACGGGCGTGACGAAATCTTATTCCATATATCAGTGCAGATGAACTAGTTGCGTTGCTGATAATATGTGTTAGAACATTTGCTAATAGGAACGTGTTTAGAAAGATATCATCGTCTGTCTTGATCGTAAGTAGAACCTGTGAACAGTACGTTTCTGTCCAATGTAAAATAGCCATGTCCCGATAGGTTGAGAGAGTATAATGTTCGGGCAAACGAACTTGAATAAGATCATTGTAGATGGCTTGCTCAAGTTTAATACTTAGCATGCGTGCTTCGTCGATATCGAGAAGAAAGAGAAGTTTGAGACGAAGCTGTGCGAATCGTTCTATCGAAATTAGTCGGCTCAAGTCTCCCCAGGTACGACGAATGGCAAGACGAGATGGAAAATTGCTCGATTTTGAAATGACAAAAATTATAGCATGAGGAGTTGTTGAAGAGCAGATGTTATTATTCGATAGTTCATAACTGAAAGAGAACTCAGCAGATTTCTGTGGAAGTAATTCTGCAATACTAAAGAAAGAAAATAGAAAGCACAAAAGGAACAACTCATTGCTGTCAATCAACACTACCTTTGATCTCGTATGAAGTGCTTCCGAATGATCGATCGATTACAATACGTTGGTTCATCTATGCGATCATCAAACGCATTATTTAATTGCCATTCATAGATATGAAAGTTAAAGAATAAGATTAGAATCAATAGTAGCATATAACCGATGCCTAAACATCGGTATGTGTGTCGACATGACCAACTAGTTAAGCGTAGATAAACATTGCTTACAAATTGGAATGTACAATTATAAACAATAAATTCGTCCATATTGATACTAACCTTTCAGCGTTGAAGTCAAGCAATCGAATAAAAACGAAGGTTCCATAAGGTAATTTGTTAAATAATTGCCTTGATTTTAGGATATGAAGAGCGAAATGAAGATGAATTAGGTCGTATCGAAAACGAGGGAGAGAAAGAGTAGAGTTTTATGTACTGTTTCATGCACGCATACATACAAATTACATTAATCGAAAATGCTGTCATTAAGAAATTGCTAATAGTAAACGATAAAATCAAATCTGATCCTTGTTCATATTGTTAACGTTTTGTAGCTGAGAAAAATACTTTTCGAACTATGCATCCATACTAATTCACTACGACGTTCCCACTCGTATATCCTATATATATATACAGTTATATATCGGAAAAACGAATTCAATAGATGTCGCTTGTCGACAAAGAAGCCTCTATAAGTTTTATTATAAGTCAACACAAAAATGGCTATCATTCGTCATTGTTTAACATATTTTCCTTCTTCTTCTTCCTATTTTCTCAATTCTTCAGCATACATTTCGTTCTTGTCTTCATTCATTTCTTCGAATTTCAACGTTAATCGTTATTTCCCAACATGAGCAACCGATCTCGCGGCGATGGCGATCAACGTTCGACACCACCAAACATCGATGTGATGTATTCGCTCAAAGTCGATAATCTAACGTATCGTACGCGTGTCGAAGACTTACGACGATATTTTGAAAAATATGGTCCTATTGGTGATATCTATATTCCACGTGATCAATTTTCTCGCTCAAGTCGTGGCTATGCTTTCATTCGGTAAGTCAGGACTCGTTTGTTTGTGTCTTCAATATACTTCTGTTGTAGTTATTTGAAAAAACGTGACGCTGAAGACGCACTAGATCGAATGGATGGTACTGACGTTGATGGACGAGAAATTCGTGTTCAATTTGCTCGTTATGGTCGTGCCTCAACAGGCGATAGTCGCGAGAAAGGACGCCATCGTCGGTACGTAGAACACAAAGAACCTTCTTAGCTATTGTCTACTGATGTGTATCTGAGCTTCCCGTTTACCCATATCGTCTAATTTCAATTGTTTAAACTCTATTCATCCAGGTCTCCTCCTGTGCGAAGATGCTGTTTTCAATATTTTCTTCGGGAATAAAAAAATTCTAATCTATGGTTTATCCCGGTGATATCCTGTATTTGTGTAGACAGAACGAGATTCCTGATGATTTTACCGAGCAGATTTAGGATCGACGAGAAATCCTGACAACAAACACTTTTGCTGTTAGAAAAAAACTCATAAGCCATTCTTTCCTAGAACACGTTCGCGATCAAGATCTCGTCGACGCTCAAGGCATCGTTCACGCAGTGGAAGCAATCGACGGTAAGTTGAACACTTTCATATCGAAAAATAACTCCTTCTTTCCTTTTTTTTTCAGATCACGTTCTCCTTCAACATCACGGTAAAAGATGGAAACCTGTCTGTTCGCATCTAACTTCTCATTTCTAGATCGAAACGAAACAATCGTCATGAAAACGGTGAACGTGACCAACGACATTAGAAAAAAAAACTATGAAAAAATGTCCTTTTTTTCTTTCTTTTTTTTATAGTTACTTGACTATATATATATTTACTAATCATTTTGACTGATTTATAAATAAAACAAAACACATAGTTCACATTTCAGATCAGATCTGGTTCGTTTTTTTCTATTTTCCCTTTCACCAATGGCCACAACAAATGCAGATCAGGTGTGCGAGGAATTAGTTCGACACAAAATGCAATTCTTGTCTTTTTTAATCATATCTCTTACACATTATTTAGCAAAGAAAATCTCGTCAAGATGCCGAGGCAGTAGAAAATTTCTCAAAAAGATATTACGATATACTAGACACGCGAAGACATGTAAGATCATATTTCATCGAATCAAGACGAACAATTTAATCCTTTTTTTTTAGAATGTAGATAAATTTTACCAAAATCAAGCCAAATTAATCTGGAATGGTAAGGAAATCAATGGTCAAAATGCAATTGCCAATTATTTAGTTGGACTACCACCAACGAAGCATCATATCTATGCGTTAGATTTCTTTCCTATGAAAGGTATTGTGTTGATGAAAAGGCACAAGTACAAATGAAAGTTTTCTGCCTTTAGATCTGTTTCCTGATGAAGATACAACATATCAAGTATTCGTCAGTGGTGCAGTTGTTTACGGATCGGTTGACAGCGTGACAATCACGAAAGAAAAACGTCTGTTTTCACATGCATTTATCTTAACTGTGGATAATATTACTTCGACATGGGTCATTGTCAATGAATCTTTTCGATTTCATGAATAGATCGTATATGTATATATCTGTTATTCTTGTTATTGCTTGTTTTTCGTGTTATGACAAAAAATCAAGAGATTATTGATTAAAAATGAATATTAAACGCGGAAAATATAGATGTGAAAGAATATATCTAAACAATCAGTTTGTCAATATTCGTTTCTGCTTGACTCGGGTCTTTGAAAACCGTCCATCGGTCTTTCGGAACATTCTCAAATGCTTTAACGTATCGTTCATGACATGTCGGTAGACATTCAGTAACGGAACAGATGTCCCGAATGAAGATATGGGCGATATTATGAGGAAACGCTTCGTATAGCTTCGAATATATCTCTGGATCAAGTTCACCTAGAAGAACAGATAAGGAGCTCAAATCAATGTTGCTTCTCCATACAAACCTGAATCGCCGACACAAATGTATTTTCGTAACGGATAGGCGTTGATGATCTGCGTAATGATTTCATTTTTATATGTATCAGGAGGTTTGAGGAATTTGAGACTCCATGTAAACTTCCGTAGATTCATTGTACCCATTGGGTATTTGTATTTCTCCAAAAAACAACGAAGTGCTGGATATCTAAATACATCCATCGATGATCTCGGAGAAAAAAAGCTTTCTAATCAACCTACAATTGCCACGGGCTTGCACTAACATAATGAAATTGACATTTTTGTTCACTCCATTTCCGGTAGAGCTCACTCATTCCATCCACCGGTTTGAAATAACTATAAAATGTATGTTTTAATAGCGACCGTTTACTGAGCACCTTGGTGACTTTGATCGTATCGTCAATATCTGAGATAACACTGACACCGTGCGGTGCCAAAACGTAAATGATGCACTTGAATGGTTTAGATTGATTTTCAATTTTCGAGTCGTTTACTTGAATTTCATATTCGAACTTCTTATCATCACAACCGGGCTGAATTTGTGTACATAATGAGCTGATTTCTTCATCAGGCAGATCAAGTTGCTCTTCGATAAAGCCACTTTCATCCGAGGGTTGCAATAAATGCTCAACACCATTGATAATTGATTTCGTCACAATCTTCACCGAGTTACCAACAAAGAATAAACCCAAGCGACCAGGATTTTCCGTTTGTTCGTCTAGCGCATCTTCTATTGAACGATACATCAAAAAAATAAACTATCATATTTACGACAGTTAGTTACCTAATGCATCTTCATACATATCATCATCAGGTGGCTCTTCGTTTTGTTCGTCGATCTTGTTGTTATTGTCTTCAGCAGGAATAGAAGCGCATAATTTATCATCTGCATTGATTTTTGTTGTATCTTCATTGGTTGTTTCATTCGGTTTTCTCGTTATAAAACTCGGCAGTGATGGAAGATAACTTTTCAGCTTTTTCCCTTCGAACGGAAGATATAACCAAGCTTTAATATTCACGGACCAAATATGTTTCGTTGGATCGAATATTGCTAGCGTCGGAAATGGAACAATTAGTGCTTCATCAGCATAGACATGATCCGATGACCATTGAGCAACGTAATCTTTCGCCGATGCAAGTGCAGTGACATATTTTTTAAGATACGAAGTCATACGGTAGAAATTTTTTTCGATGAGTGCCAAAAAACAGATTAGATGAGTGGAAGAAAGAGAATTATTCTTTTTCTTTCTCTTAGCATTTATTCCTTAGATTTTTAGCCAACAGGGAACAGTCACAGACGAAAAAATCACCAGGAAGAGTAATATATAGATGGAGAAAGCGAAAAATCCCGCTGCTTTAATCCTTAGCAATCTTGTCTAGTTTTTCTCGCATTTCAGCACAAGTAAGTACATGACCAAAACCAAAAGCAATTGTTTTCAACGTTGCTTCGCAACGTGGACCGGTACCATCTGATAGAAAGATAACATTATAGTTTTGAACGAATGCTGAACGTGCTGTGGTTTCGCAACAAAGTTGTGTCATTACACCAGAGATAATTAATGTATCGACATTCCGTTCATCCAAGAGAGATTTCAATCGAGTTCCATGAAATGCATCATAGGTGGTTTTTTCATCGAGAACAGTTTCGTTAGATGCAACATCGAGACCGGATAAAAGTTTCCAATCGGATGAACCTTTACGAATTGAACCGGACGCACCCCACCATCGAACTAAAACAGAAGTTTTCTCTTCATTTTCAGGATCTGGATGACCATGTTGAGTAAAAATCACAGGTATACTAGCACGGCGAGCACTTGCTATCGTAGCATTGACTTCGGAGAGTATTGGTTTTGCCACCGAAGCAAAATTGTTTTGCATATCAATGACTAACAATGCGAATTTGGAAGAACTTAATCCACGTGGCATGTTCAATATTAACAGAATTGATATACAACTCATTCTACCTACCTACTTTCAACGTATAAGCTGATATACGCCAATGGGTGATTTGACTTGTCGCTATACGTCACGTCAATCGTCAAAAATCAATATATTTTTATAATGATGATTTTTTGCGTTTATCCTCGACAAACTGAATGTTATCGAGTTGAGTATCTGATGTATGGCAATAGTTCTATTCCTCTAAACATGCATATTCGCGATTCCATGGAATCAAGTACCTAATCAAGAGAACCTGGCAAGCGTCTTCTGTACTCACATATTTTATTATCATGATCATGTCTTCGCAGATGAGTACGATAGCCTCTAATCGACTCTAAGCACAGAAACATGGCTGTCGACACGATTAATGCATGAGCAGAAAAACAAAGCTATAATTTAATACCTAATCTCTTAACATCAGTGGACGTTACAAGTAGCACCCGATCAGTAGTAATGATCAAGTGCATTTATTTCGAGGTAAGTACGATGATTCTCATCTCGATCATCTTTCTATTCCATTCTTATATTAGGGAACATGCACCGAGCAATTTAAAGCATATTTCACCAGCGAACAAGTACCTTTTTACCAAACAGATAGTACAACTTCTACGGTTAGTTTAATGCGTCAAACTACTTATTTTCATTACAACGCAAATCGGGCTTTGGACATGCGAACTGCTCATATACCATATAATACAAACAGCACTGATCTTCAATTTGTCTTTATTTGCATCCTACCCAACCCGACGTTCTAATTAGAAGATATTGAATGAGAATCCCGAACACATCCAAAGTTAACGAAACAAACGCTAAGCCACCATAACGCTCACACTGAATATCTTGAGCTTTATTTATCAAAATTTCGAATGAAAGCGCAATTCAATTTGAATGATGTTCTTATTTCACTTGGCACGCCCAACGCTTCTCAAGATCACCGTGACTTAATACGTTTCTCAATGTTTCGCTCAGGTGAATCATGAAGCATTCATCAGTGTTGACGAGCAGAGTCCATATTTTCCTCTAATGAGCAACTACAAACTATAAAAATGATTTGATTTCTAATTTCACAACCTGTTGCAGTCACAGTATTCGTGATCAACAAGTAGAGTGCTCAAGATCTACGAGAGCCCATTGAATTTGAAATCAATCGTCCCGGTCTGATCGACATTCAAGAAACTCGTCGTAGTCTAGCACTATCTCAAGGCAAATAACCTTCTTATAATTCCATTTCAATGAGAAAACTATTTTTAAATTATATCTCGTCGTTTATAATACAGAGAAAATCTTCAAAGACATAGATAATAAACAACCAAACAAAATAAAAAATATCGATGAAACCGCTGATGAGCAATGATTGAGAAGAATTCGATAGCCATGCAAATTGATCGGCTGAATGTCATCGTCTAATGTTACATTATATCTCGTCATTGGTTCAAATGATTGAATATGTTTGAAACGATATTGTAGAACATGAAACGCATGATTAATACGTATGGAACGATTCATAGACTTGTGGAACTTAGGCCCTATTCAAAACATACGATCCAGTGTATCATGAAATGCATAATGGAAACTTACTGCAAAAACCAGTGGGTAGAACATCACACATAAATATACCATTGTAGCATATGCATAGGACACAATCGATTTCCATTCTGGTCATCGATGGGAAGGTTCCGCACTGTTCATCAAGAGAAATTTCACAATATCGTCCAGAAAATCCTCTACAAGAAAATTATTTTCCGTGACACAGGTTCGCTCTTCATTTTTCAACTTACTTCGGACAAATACAGAAGGACGAGAGGAAACATTGCCCTTTATTTTGGCATCGCGCATTGCATGGCTCGGGTTCTCCAACATAATCTATGAAATACAATCACGATCATTGACATAATTTCAGAGCAAAAAGTTTCTTTTCATACCTTCAGATTCTGCTGGTAGATAAAATCCATCTACGAATCTAAACGAATACCTTTCTATAGACGAATTTATTCTACGCTCGTATGCTTTTCCTACCTGAACAAGAAAATAATCGAAAAATAAAATCTGAACATAACTGTATGTCATACAAGCAATTGAACATGATTTATATATTAAAAATCAATGTGTGACTTATGACAAACACAAGACCGACAGTAACTTAGAAGTTCAAACATGCGATATGCGTCCAAGCGAACAAGTAGTACGTTTGTTTCTTTGCTCGACTGTCAATTGTATTGTAATTAGCATGTTTGTGACTTTTCGTTTTATGTAATTGAATTTTTCTTTTTCTCTTCACACCAACTGTTCTCTCTTTCTTTTCTTGCGTCAATGTCCAACAGATATAATTAATGAGTAGATCGAATAACATCACCTTCTGCTCATTATATGCGCACGAGTTAATGACATAAGAGAAAGGGAAACATACAGCGGTACGGACACTGTCGAAATGACGAGACATTGATAATTGGAACGAAATTAGTCAATGATCATACTCAGAGTCTTTTTCAGAAGAAAATAATTGCGAAAACCTATTTTGTATTTTGCTTATGGAATGTTTGAAGCAAGTTTGTAGAGAAAAATGACCAGTATGACCTCATTTGACCTCGTGTGTTTCGTGCTCATCGAATAAGAAGAGAGAGAACAGTAAATTGAACTTCGAGGGTATAAATACATCTGGGAAGTATTCGTCTTGAGGTCATTCTCTCGATTGCCATTGTTCAACATCGATATAGAAGGTTAGTCAAGTTTGATTTCTCACATTGGGCCATTCTGGTGGTCTCTTTTAGCTTTGTATTCTATTTACAAGGATGCGTTTCAATGTGTTTACCATGCTAATGATAATTGCGGTTCTCTTGATTGTTATGTCGTCATCAACAATAGAAGCAACGAGCATGGAAGTGACAAATATAAGAATGAAACGTTCGTTCTTAAACTGGTTTACGGGTAATAGACGAAGCTGTCGACGAAAAGGAAAGCGGTGTTTTGGTATAAACTCCGCATGCTGCAGTGGTCATTGTGAGAATATTCCTCTCCGTAGCGATCGTTGTACTTAAATTTGTATGTGTGTGCGTTGTTGTTGTCGTAGTAGTAGCGCATTATTGTTTTTTTTCCAATAAATTCGCTGTTTTTCATTCTGTGTGTCTGATGTAGTGTAGACGGAAACTATATACTTTGCTTTGGATAACTCTCGTCGACGGGTGAGAAACGAAGAAGAAAAGAAATCGATGAAAATAGTTTATATTCCATATCCACGATGTCTATTAGTTGGCATTCATCTTGTTGAAGATTACCAACCCCTATTTTCTCTGATATGTCGCGGCAGTAGCAGAAAAATACGAACGGCAATCGATGCATATGCATCGATAGCAGACCAAGGAGAAAAGAAGGACGAGACACAAATATTAGTGGTACGAGTGGTAAAAAAAAGGAGAAAAGCCACACAACATATCGACATAGTTATAAGGATAAGAACATCGTTTGTACAGTAGGCACCCTAAGGTTTTCTCGCAACTTTTGTTCATTATTATGACGGATATTGTCAGTCGAACTGTTGATGTTCTTGATTGTTACGAAGGTCGTGATGCTGCAATTACATTTACACTTTATTTGTGTTGTCTAATTAGTGGTTTTTACTCACGAAAAACCAAATTACATCGATCTTTACAACGTGTTTTTCATCGACTTGAAGATTGTCGTGTTGTTCTACGTTTGTACGATGACTTGACTATTCTTCGAGATTTATTTACATACGAATTGAGACCTGGTGTAAGAAATTTAGCAGATCGGCTTTGCTTGTTGTCACACGATTGTTTTTATTCAATAGGAACGCAATTGGGTTGTTCGTTTATTGAAGTGTCTTCATTACATAGCCTGGCTCGGCTACTATCCATCTGAACACATCGCATGGTTAGGTGAAATGAAAATGCTCGATGTCAATCCGAAATTATGGGATTTCTACACAAATTTTTTCTGGTCAACCGCTTTATTGACATCTGCTCTCTGGTAAGTTTCCTGTAGTTGTAATTCTTACTGACCGATTGAGTCGTTTATAGGAATGCCTATGTGGTCTTACAATATATGGTACAACAAAGTTATAGTATACAACGAAAAGAAGAAGAGTACGAGTTAATTTTGTTCGAAAATGAATCAGTCGATTGTCTTTCTAGGAAAAAGAAGCTTATTCCATGGACAGCTGCTCGGAACGCAATGTTAGCAACTGTCCGTGATGGTACGGAGTTTATCGTTGCTGTGAATTATCTACCACGTGGTTATCTATGGGCATCGACATTGACTTACATACAAGTGGGTGTATTCGGTACAAGTTCAGCTTTCCTACGACTCTTTTCACTCTTTCAATTTCATCATGAACATTAAAATGGCCCCTGATATATTTCGTTCTTCTCTACCATTAGAGCAGATATTTATGATTATGTTTTCTCGCAATTTAATTACGATCTTACCTTTTTCTTCGCCAACCTTGAATAGACACAATCGAAATTTTCCTTCTAAGGAAATCGAATGTACTAATGTTTCGTTGTGTTTAGAAGGAAACTTCACATTTGAATTTTTGCATGCTGTCTTTGTCGTTTTTTTACCACGAAATATAGATGAGAGAAAAATACTTAATAATCTTGCATGTCAACATCTATTCCAGTTAATTTTATGAAACCATTGAAATGCTTGTAGACGACGTCAGCAGAATGAAGCATAATGTTGCCTTCTTCAATTCGTTGTAACAATAATCAGACAGTGCATTCATAAGTTTGCTTTGAATCAACGACGCGCCAGGGCGCTTACGTAGAACCTTTCTGGTGAATTATTGTATCGTGTTATAGAAATATGCCTTGGATACTTTCCTAAATGACGATATAGGATATCTTGGACACGGATTCGCACACGAGTGTATTCTAACTCTGATCACATTCGTTCCACGTGCAACTCAGTGACCTTTATCGATTTCAACCATTAAAAAATTTTCATTCATCCTAGCTCATCCGAATCCCCATAAACGCCAGCTTTTATACACGAAGTCTCACAAGCGGTGTTTTTAAATGAATTTGCACAGATCTTACCGCATTTATTGTATAATTCGGATGAGTTTGGGTGTTGGCAGACGGTGGGTAATAGTTCTTTTATATTTGGAATCGATAGAGCTCACCGAGTTTCACCTGGAACGAATGTGATCAGAGATGGAATACACTCGTGTATGAATCCGTTCAAGAAAAGGTCGAATCCGTGCCCAAGATACCTCACATCAGAGTGTTGTGCTTGTTTCTTAGTGTGTAAGATAAGGTATCATTTGTATGTTTCGAGCACAATACTATTCACACTCAGGTCATTTAATTCATTGTTCTCTTCGATAGATTCGAAATTTTTCAGTTTCATCTCTGTCAATCTTTATAGATGTCACGTAGTGTCTTGTCGTCTGATTGGTTGAAAAACGTTCTCTCGCTTCCATTGGTAGTGTACAAACTTACTTGCAAATTTCTAAGCAATGCTTTTTGTATTTAATATAAGCTGACTGTAAAGCAACGCATTGCCTTCGGAATTTTTCTCCTACAACACGTACTGTACCCAGTTGAATCATATGTGCGTAGGCGTGTCAAACCTCCCTCGTGCGTACCCCGCGCTGAGGGAAGTTTTGTAGTTTTAGAAGGTTCTGCACTTCTGTATGTGAGTATGGAATACTTGAACGGAAGAAAATACTTTCGAGTTTCATTTTTGTACAGTGCGATTATCCATTAAAATAAGGTCGAAGTCGAAAACACAAATATTGACAGTTCGTTCTAACGATGGTAGCCAGCAGAGATATCTTAGTACTTTTTATCTTCATTTAAAACAATTACTCACAATCGTGATATATTCTCCTTTCTGTAATATTCTTTGAGATTTATTATTTGCACATTACACAATGTCATCAGCACTCTCTACATCTCCAAAGACACTTTATGAGCTATTACATAAAAATGAAGCGATGGATACGCGAAGAAAAACTTCAATTAAGCGAAAAGATGAAATGACGAAATCAACCACTGTTCACACTCGAATAGCAGAACTTCGTAAATCAACGACGAAACATGGAGTTTATAGTGTATGTGAACTGGCTAGCTATGGATTCGAATATACGGGTGAAGGAGATACAGCGATATGTGATAGCTGCGGACTGAAGATATCAGACTTGACACTAGATGTCAATCCTAAAACAATCCACTTCGAAAGAAGTCCTGATTGCTCATTTCTTAAGTCTCTGAAGTTAAAATCACCAGAACTAATACACCATTCAACATCGTCATCATCATTGGCAACAACCGCTCATAATTCGTCGTCATCGAATGAATCGGAAAAGCCCTCGAAGCGAATAAAAATAGAACCAAATGAGTTAATGTCATCAGTTAATATGTTATATGAAACAAGTTCACTTCAACAAGTACGAAGAAGGACTTTTTCTCATTGGCCAAGTCGTACTATTCCGTCTGTAGCGCAAATGATCGAAGCTGGATTCTTCAACTGCAATGTGGGTGACAGGGTGATATGTCTGTATTGCAATCTTATCTGTCAACAATGGACTGACAATGATGATCCGTGTGAGATACATAAACTATGTTCACCTACCTGCCCATATGTCTGTGCCAAACTGAAACATCCAACAGGCACAAATGGCCAAATACCGCCATCAATAAATTCGGCTCCCATATCAAGCTCTGATTCTGTCACTGATGTAAATCATCCAGCTTACAGTGAGATATATGAACGTTATAAATCGTTTGAGACATGGCCAGATGAAAGATACCCGTCTGTGTGTACTTTTGTACGAGCAGGCTTCTTCTACACCGGTTCGAACAAAATTGTGACTTGTTTTCATTGCAATGGGTCACTTCAAAATTTGGCTCCAAATGATGATCCTATGGTTGAACATGTTCAGTGTTTTCCACAGTGTCCATATGCCAAACAAGTTTGCGGCAGTGACTCACATATGAAAATTCAAGAATTGAAACGAACAAAACAGGGTACGTTTTGGTATTGCTTATTCACCGTAGATAATTTTAGTTATTTTGTAGAATCTGTTTTTGAAAGACAACCGCAAAATCCGACCAGCTTAGCTGTCAGCACAGAACAGTTATCCATACCTGACCAAGCAACTTTGGATGTATTGCTCGAGGCACGACTTGATCTACCTGTTTCACGTCGTCTGCTCAACGAAGGTTTTGCATTTTCGATCGTGAGCCAATGCTGGAAAAATCAACTAGAACTAAAGAGTAAATGCATAAACACACTTTGACGCTTTAATAGTACAACATTGACTTTTTTAGAAGTCGATTTTGCTGATGATCTCGAGTTGTACATTGCTTGTGTTATTCTGCAAAAGCAGAATGAGCACAATAATAAAGGTGATAAATCTATTGTGATCCCAAAAATCATTAAAAAACAAAATGGTATGTTTGCAATAAATTTATCAATATTTCTTAATCAATCGTTTTAGAATCCCGATCTGAAATGATAAACGTTACTACTGAGAACAGTTCATCAATGATCGAAACAGCTTCACGCCACAGGAAAGACTTTCCGCCTGACAAACAATCCACAGTCACTAACTTATCCAGAGGTCCTGGTGTCGTTAATGAAAATCGAAGCAGTTGTTCATTCCAAGCAAATCCATGCGCTATCTGTCTGACTGAACAAAGGCAACTTGTTTGTCTGCCATGTGGACATCTGGCTGTTTGTACTCAATGCGGACCCACACAATCTTTATGTCCGATATGCCGCAAAACCATAAGTAAATTTATCCGAGTTTCTCTGTAATTATTGACATTGCATCGATTTTTTAAAAACGACTATTTTATTCTTATCTTGCTTTTGTTGTTTCTTTTTGTGTGTTATATTAATCTGAATCATATAGTTTCGTCAATAATGGCAGTATGGAAATCTCTTCCATGTAACCTCGGTTCTCATTTTTAGACTTTATTCGTACCCATATTGCGTATTAATGGGCCAAATTTATGCGCGCAAAAAACATTTTCAAAAAAAAAAGATAGTTTCAGTTATTGGATTATTTCTGAATCGTATTTGATATTTCGGACACGTAGATCATCAATGAAGAACGTTGTTAAAATAATGACCTTATACTTCAATTTAGTGCCTAATACGATTTGATCGATTAAGAAGAGTCTATCTCTCTCTCGCTCTTTCTTTCGATTTCCTAATAGTGCTTTCAAATAGAATAACGTACGACAAATTCATATTGATATTATTTGGAAACAAACTTGATCTCTCATTACTCAGGAGACCAAAATCTGTTTGGAATAGTTTAAGATGCCACATTCTGTTCAGCAACAGCAGTTTCTTTTGCTTTTAGTCGATTCTATTCTTTTTTCATTAATAACATTCCTCTGCGCTCCCATACGATCGATCAATCGATTAGAACATAGGCATTTCTATCGTTCAACGTCGTACGTACTTATTCTTTTCCGGTCCATCTCATCTTATCTTCTTCGTCTTCTTTTTCTTCTCTACTGTCATTATTAAATCTCCTGATAATAAAATCACTCACTCATGGAAAATATATATATAAAACTTCTCGTACATATACACATCACAATAACATAATCGTTTGCCTCGTCTTCTCTCCCATCCATCAATCATGAGTCTTAAAACATGATTCGAATACTGATCTATTTCGTTCTATTTTTCAACGCGCAAGGTCAAACAAATATTCCCATTGGTAGGTCATAGAATATGTTCGAGTAATAGTGCTGGAAACTTCTATCCTAGGTTGGTTTGTGGATGAAAAATCGACAAATAATGAAGCAGCAAACACTTTCATACAAGCTTTAACAGCAGCAACGAATCTAACCGAAGGATTCCTATGGCCCAAAGGTCAATACACATTTCAATCCATTCATGAGAATGTGAATGTATGTATAACCGACTTGCAAATCTAACCCACTACTTTCTGATTGCTTCATTTGTTTTTCAAGAACGATAATATATATGCCAGTGTTCATCAAAGTAAAGAAATCTTGCCAGAGGTGAATTTTGTACAGATATCTCATTCATGAATAGTTTGTAACCGTTTGGAATCTGGTGCCATTGGTACCATTTCAAATATTAACAATGCGAAAACTCGTTTGCTCGAAATATTCATGCGACGATTACACATATCGATGGTTTCATTGAATTATTTCAATTATAACAAACAAGAATTTCCTCCGTTGAATAAATTCTATCATCTAACAATGAAAATCGATCTTCTGCCGGCACTTGCAGCGTGCATAAGACGCTATAAAGTAATGAAATTGTTTTACATCTTCGAAGGCGATGAAGCTTTCGAACGGTACCAAGCGATGATGGTCGCACAAGCCCGAGAGAAAAGTTATGATATTCTCGACATCCAAGGTCGACATCTGATCGATAGTACGAATTCAAATCATACGAGAAATTTACTGCAAAGTGTGGAAATCCATGATCGAGGCTCGAAAGAGGAGCGTTATATCGTATTGGATCTATATGACATTAACAGTTATGTAAAATTACTAATGCAAGTAAGACGAGAGTTTTTAAATACAGTTTGAATCAACTCTTATTTGATAGATTCGACATCATGGTATGACCACACCTCACTATCACTATATTCTGATGAGTTTGGTGAGTTAAGTCAAACGAGAAAAAAATTCGAGTATAAAGTGCTGTTTTAGGAAGCAAATCGTATTGATATGCGCACTTTTCGTTATGGTGGTGTGAATGTAACCTATTTTCTACCTAAATCAGCTTATAAATTGAACTCCTCGTTCGATTTAACAGGCCAAGATCGATTATCATTACCATCCGTAAGTTGAATCTACTTTCAGCAGTTTTCTCTTGAACTGTTCCGTGGTTGTAGTTTGAAAAGAAAGCGTTGGCTGATACTTTGTATCTGTACATGCGAGCAATCATGTCTTTGGATGAACGAACACGTGCTAAAATTATTGATTCAGATTCCACCGATGATAACTTCGATCATTTAAAGATTGAATGTCGATCCAAAGGGAAACACCGTTCACACGAAGCATTTGGTGACAAGCTCTTCCAAACAATGAGATCAGTAAGAATTTTCTCGTCGACAAGATATACACAAATCATATTCGCATTCGTGTAGATTTCCTTCGAAGGTTATTCCGGAAACGTCGCATTCAATGAATATGGTGAACGATTAAATTACACTTTAAATGTGTATCAAGTGACTATGAATCGATTACCGCGACATGTAAGTTGATCGTTTGTAAATGGGAAAAGACACAAGCATATGCCTATCTAGATTGGCAATTTTACTCATGACGAATTTGCATTTGACGATCTCAGGGTATTCGAAGGACGTCAAGCACATGATTTTGATAAGGGAAAAGAACGCATTATATCGACAATTATCGTATGTATTGGATACACTTTGTTCGATGACCGTGAGAAATAGTTCATTTTCTTTCGAGGACGAACCATTTACCATGTTGAATACGACTGCTCTTGGAAATATGACTGTCTCCGAAGCGACTGGTCAATATTTCACGTTTGATCAATTACATGGTTATTGCATTGATTTAGCACGTTTGATATGCGAACAAAAACTTGAGATACCATGTAAATTTCGCATTGTCAAAGATAACTCGTTTGGAAATAAACCGACGAACTCTCAGCCATGGACGGGAATGGTCGGTGAACTAGTTCGACATGAAGTCGATTTAGCCATTGCACCATTAACCATAACAAGTCAACGGGAAAGTGTCGTTGATTTTAGCAAACCATGGATGAATCTTGGTATCAGTATTTTGATCAGTAAACCAGAGAAAATCGCACCAGGTAGAAAAGAATTGTGTTCTCATGCAGGTAGAGCTGGTTTGTTTTCAGGTATTTTTTCATTTATGGCACCCTTATCGAAAGAGATCTGGATGTGTGTCACATTTGCATATATTGGTGTCAGTGTTATTCTATTTCTTGTCTCGCGATTTTCTCCATACGAATGGAGTATGGAAGATGAAGAAACTTTTCAATTATCGAATAAATTCTCAATCTTGAACACACTCTTCTTTGCTCTCGCTGCTTTCATGCAACAGGGTGTGGATTTCATTCCAAGGTAACAAATTCTGTTGTTATGCATACGCCTTAATTTTGTCGATAGATCTATATCGGGTCGTTTGGTAGCCGGTGTTTGGTGGTATTTTTCCATGATTCTGGTATCATCATATACTGCTAACTTAGGTAAACCGAAGTAGAAGGCGACAAGTTCGATGAAGTTTCTTTTTTGTTTTGACAGCCGCTTTCCTAACTGTCGAACGTATGGTTACGCCCATTGAGAGCGCGGAAGATCTTGCTAGACAAACCAAAATTCGATATGGTATCGTTCGTGGCGGATCGACACAATCATTTTTTGAAGTATACATTCATTGTACCTGTGACTGGAAAAGTTTGACTACATTGTTCGCTTTTTAGAAATCAGATGTGAAAGTTTTTCAACGTATGTGGACATACATGCAACAAAGTGACGATGTCTTTGTTTCCACAAATGAAGAAGGTATAAACAAAGTTCGGTATGTATCTGTTCGAATGAAATATATCGTGCAATGGTCTCGACTTCCATTCGTAGAAAATCAAGAGGCAGATACGCATTTTTACTCGAAGTGAGTTAAACTGAACAATAAGAAAAATTTTCTTTGTTTTTTCTACAAGTCAACAAAAAACGAATATATTAACGAACGTGCTCCTTGCGATACGATGAAAATTGGAATTAACCTAGATTCCAAAGGCTACGGCATTGCCACGCCAGTCGGTTCAGAATTACGGTATGAGGACAAGTTGAAAGAAAACTCTTTATTTCATCCATCTTTGAACATCATTTCAGAGAAGCTGTTAACATAGCCATACTAGAAATGAGTGAAGATGGTTCACTAAATAAACTAAAAAGAAAATGGTGGTTTGATAGGTCGGAATGTCATAGTGCTTCGACGAAAGTGAGTCGTAAATAGAAAACAATCGAGTAGTTGATCTGCTCTATTTTGTGCATCAGGATTCGAAACAAAGCAATGCGCTGAATTTGGTCAATGTCGCGGGTATATTTTATATATTGATTGTGGGTCTAACATTGGCGATTATCATTGCTGTACTGGAATTTTCGATCAAAGCAAAAAGAGAAGCGAAAGAAACAAGAGTAAAATTGATAATCATTTAGAATTTCACATTACGATTCGTTTTCTAGAACAATATTTTTGACGTAATGAAACGAAACATGCGATTAAGGTTTGTAGAGGAAATCAAATTGTGTTCCTTGTACAAATGAGTTCTTATTTAGTATTGCTGGTGTCGATCTGAATGACACACCAACAGCGCAGTTTATTTACAAATGTCCACCTCCAGATCCGTTTCAAGTAAGATAGAGAGAAAACCTTGCCTGCGCATAGATATAATCTTCATTCTTCAGAGTTCCGAACAGCTATTCGAAGAAAACGGACACATCGCTGCTGGTAGTCATAGTCAAGTATAAGAAACTTTCATTTGTTCGTTTTTTTTTCTATTTATCAACCCTGTACATGTACTAATAAAACTTCTGAACTAGTTAGTGATCATATAGAAAGCAATCGTGTAAACATAGACGTGCAATGCTATGCTGGCACTTCAAACATGTTTCTATCAACAAATGCCGATTGTGTCTATTGATGTTTGTAGTTATCAGCAGCTCGGATCGTTCTTTGCTGTTGTCTGAGTGTCAAATCATCACATTTATTTTGCGTTGGTCTTGCTTGACAATGACATCCGAATCCATAAGCGATCTGAACAGATAGTTTATTTTGAGGAAGAAAACAACAAAATTCGATAATCAAGCTTCACCATTCTTCTCATCATCATGATCAGTTGAAGTTTTTAATTTCGCTTTTTTATTTTGAAATTTTTCAACTTTTGTCTCCACACTCTCTCGCACTGGACGAGTTAAGATTGGCTGGTAATTCTTTCGATTATTATTATATCCTGTTGATGCATGACTGTCATTTTCAATCAAGGCTAATTGACCTAAAATCGGTGTATGTTGTTGATCTGAAATTTGGCTTTCGAGATGATTCAGCATAGCTTTGATCATCGTTGCACGAATTTGAAACGACGACCAATGTCGTTGTAGATGGGCGATCGTCATACGAAGTGATGAATGATCACAGATCCATTCGACATCATTATATTGACAATCAAACAGAATCAGCGGTAATTCTATGAACAAAAACTGAAAAAATGCATCACAGTGAAAAATTCTGTTACCGGATGCTATTTGATAGTTCGGTGTACAGGGGTATTTTTCAATATTCAGTAGTTCTTTAACTAGTTGAACATCTTCTTTTTCTTGACCAATCAATAGTAGAATAGCAACGATACAACGAATCTGATGCCATAGAAATCCAGAACCGTGAACCAACAATTCGCACATTTGGTAACTATTAGGAACGTTATGAAGTCCAAATTTTGCGTACCCAGAAGAATACTCACCCAAAATTAGGACTGTTCGAATCATTATCAATATTTAATTGTTCAACAGTGACATTATCGATACGGCGAATAAATGTCGGCTCATCATTAGTTATATCAAGTTTACAAAAACTTCGAAAATCATGTGTGCCAATCAGATCTGCTGCTGCTTGTCTCATTCGATCAAGATTTAGATTAGCTCTAAAGAAATTCAACATTATTTCGAAGGCGATACACTGCTCAATCGACTTGGTTTACTTTGGAAAGAAATATCGATAAGATCTTGATACGCAATCAAATCGAGCTGATTTGCCATCTGGCACGGGCGCCCACGCAGTGCATCGTATTGAACTTGGTAGTACACCATTCAAAATTTGTACATAGTTCAGTTCTTCCGTACTAAACTCAAATAATAACTCGTTAAGAACAAGAAAACTGTCTTATATGAATACCCTTGTGCACTAAGCTTTGATCGAACGGTCAATGAGATTACTTGAGTGAATGCACTGACACCTGAAAGTGAGGTCAAAGGTTATTCGATTAGAACAGGTTCTCACTCGCCTCGATCTGTGCGTCCGCATCGATGATAGTTCGAGGTTGCCCGCTCTTCGATTAATCGTGTTTTTATCAATGCATCAAAGAGAAAATCTTCGACAGTTTGTGATGTTGTTTCTTGTACAACGAAACCCTGAAAATGATAATTGAATCTCTAATGTTCATCAGTTTCATTGTTTTCTGCTCGCTCACATGATAATCCCAACCGAGATAGAAGAACTTGAGAAATATATGTCGTTTCGGATGTTTACTGAAATCAAACGGTCTCATCGCTTTCGTCTTTTTCTCCTTCGAATCCTTTCCCGTTGTTTTACTTATTGTATTTCTCAATTGTTCGACATGTTTGTCAAGTTGTATACAACGTTGTATGAGCTCTTCGCGTGATAACCTTGACCATTGATCCTCATCAGATGGGAATTTACGTTTCGAACTATTTATTTGTTCATTAGACATTTTCCTATCTGAAATAAAATCGAGACATATGTAGACGAAATATGACTCGTATTTAATTCCAAACATACACGCATACAGATAGAATTGACGTAAACGTAAGACAAAAAAAGAGGAGTAGAGGAAAAAGAAGAAGAAGAAGAGAGGAACAAAAGTTTTCTTTTCAAACGTGCATACTAGTAATACACATTGCCTGTTCGGATGCTATGTTCTGTAAATTTTGTGTTTGTAAGGAGAGAAAAATATCAGTAGGATGATAGAAACAAACGAATATAAATTAACAAAAAAGAGAGAAAAAACTTTCTACAAAAGATGTGTGTCCGATGATGTTGATGGGCCGTGTGGATCGTCGGATTTCGGAGGTTGTTGTTGCTTTCGTAATGTTTCAACGTATTCGATTTGTGATATGGCAAGAACTTGTCGCATTAAGGAGTCATCGTCATCGTCAAGATCTAGAGAATACGAAAGGACACGGTTTAATGAAACCGTTTTAGGAAAACATGAAATATATACCAGCATTGGATGAAGCATCACATTCATAATTAAACGGTAAAGCAAATTCACAATCCTTTCGTTCATCAAGTTTCAACGGTAACAAGTTTCTCGGTGAGCCTATAAGAAACATGATATGAAAAGTGAAATTCGGTGAAAGTTGATCTTTTACCATGGCTGTTGTTCGACGCTCGTTCGGAGGTTGTCGTTGATCTTGGCGATGAGCTTGACGATGGCATCTAAAGGGATTTTCAAAATCAGTTATATTCTTGAAAGACGCTCAGTGAATAATTCGTTCTCAAATCTGTTTTCGAATGACACTGTCTCTACGAGGATAAAAACAAGATTAGAATTCACAAACCGTCTTATTATCTTTGTGTTGTTGGTTCGTATCACATAACCATTGTAAATAAGATTCTCTCGCAACTTGCTGAATTAGTTCGTCTTGTGTCGCCTCCCAATCAGTAGCTGCTATCTTATCGTCAAGCATCGCACGTTCAATGTGACTTTCTTCGGATTGGCGCACAGCTGATCTAATAAGTGTTTCTTGAGCACGCTAAAGATGAATAGAAAACATGGTGAGCGTGAAAGAAAAATCCTGTTCTGCTATGCGGAAGACATACTCCTGGTTCGAGATCAGGAAACCCAAGACCGTGTCCAGCAGTCGGCCGCCAGGGATCAATGATCGAATTGTAATGAACACCACAATGGTAGCTTAAACGAATAGGTTCATTATCGGTTTTATACATTCCATGCACAATGTTAATTGGTTCTAAGAGTACAGAAAAGTCAACATTTCATCTGTTAAATTGATGTTTACATACCAATACTGTATTCATAGACTTCAATCGGTCGGTTGTATAATTCTGATAAGGCAATCATTTCAATATGATTTCCATGGCAATGCTGTCGCCGTTTCCGTGTGACATAATGATCGAAATCTTCTGTGATATACGAACGAAAAAAATCGGCATTTTTCACCTAAAACGAATACACTTCCAGAGATTCAGTCATAAAAAAGTGAAAAAATTCTTACAATATAGTCCATGCAGTTTTGTCGAACAGTTGCATGCATTTCTTCATCACCAAATACTTGATCAGCTAGAGAGAGAGAGAAAAAAAGCGTTTGTAAATCGCATCTATCGAAACTATTCTTTACTTACACACTGCTCGAAATAAACAAGCTCCATCCTCTTGAACAGCTTTGATAACAAAACCTTTCTTTTCTTTCAATGCTCTAGCAAAACGCATTTCAAGCTAAAATACAAAATTCATCATCAGTGTCAAGTTTCGAAACACAAACGAACTTCATTGAGATTATTTCTATCGTATTTAACAGTTGTTTGTTCATATTCATCTTCACTGTTACATTGTTCATCATTATTAACCGTTGTTAACGATGCTGCTGATGTTGATGCTTGAGTTAGAATATGTTCATTTGAATTGGCATTTGCTGGGGGGTTATTCTCATTAGTTAAACTCGGCGATGGACTATTACAAACAACATTAGGTATCGAAGAGCTTGGGATGTGTTTTTCTCCGACTGAACTGCCACGTCGTCGAGCTTGTTTAACGGTTGTCTGATGATGAAAGTGAGATTTACGTTTCGATGTCGGCGCAGCGGTTGTCGTTAACATCGTGTTTGTTGTTGACGAACTTGTGGGAAGATTGTTGTCACATCCGAGATTGGATTCTTCAGTTGAATTCGGTTGTATACTTGTCGAATTATCGTCATCACGTGAAATACGCGTGCGAGAAATATTCGCTGATGATTGTTGTTGTTGTTGATTTGTTGAACTCGATGATAAATCTTTATTATTATTTGAAGGTTTTTTCGAAGAAAATATCGTCATGACAGGATAGAATGGAATCAATCGATAATCATGATGAGAAAAATTGAACACGAAATCTAGAAGGAGACAAATAGGACATAACGATACCAAGTTCTTTTTCTCTTGTTTGTCGTCTTTTCGACATCATCATCATCATCATCATCTGAGCAGCAACAAATATAGATAGATGATCGATAGTGATTAATGATTGGTTCTTTTGGAAATATTTAGATTATGTTACTAAATTATTTCAAGCACAATTCTGATGAAATACGACAGATTTCGTTGCATTTTATTTGTTTTTATATTTTGAAAGTTCTCAAGATGTCGCTACATGTCAACATATATGCTTCAAATCACGTTCGTAATCAATTAATTAAACTCGAACGATTGCGTTCTGGCAGTAGACATGAGCTTCCCATAAACAGAACAGCATTGTATTTGTTCCTAACTGGAGGTTACAATGAGATAATCATGGCGACCGTCAATTTCAATTAGATCAGCGTTTTCGCCTTTGACATCTCCTTTACCGAAGATTAATTCGTGATGTCTTTTCTTAATCTTCTCATCCTTGATAAATACAATCGAAAATCTGTGTAGCAATGATTTTATACGAAGAAATCTATTAAGCAGGTAAGCCAGATAAATGAAAGTATGCGTAATATGTGTGTTTGATGAGTTATAGCATGCACAAATATAAATACACACACACACACTAAATTACACGCGTTCATTGGGTGACGATTGATACGTAACATGGCAAGATTTACATCGTATTGATAATCGTTCACATACGATAGTCGAAGAAGTGTTTCAAAAGAGGCAGAGAGCAGACATCGAAGTTAAGTCTGATACCTATCCATTTATATGAGTAGGTTTTCAGGGGATGGCGCTGATATGTCCGGATATCCGTCAAATGCTTTTATTCTTTGTCATCATGTACGTCACTTCATTATTTCCTTTCCACCTATTTACAGAAGAAGTCAGAATACATTTAAAAGAAGAAATGGGAAGAATAAAGAGAGAAAAATGATGGTTCACAGTGCATTGACGTGTGTATATCGGCGACCTATCGACATGAAATACATGTATATAGTGCATATCGGAACAAATGAGATTCTTCTATCCTACGGATGTAATCGTCTGACAAAGAGAAAAGAGGGAGAGAAATAAAGCACTGTACTCTTTGTTTATCAACGGATACTGGCCGCGAAGATAGAAGGAGAGAGGTAGAGGGAAAGAGAAAAAAAAGAGAAAGAAAAAATCTGCAGAATATACATCCCATTATACTTGTATTCCGTTCATTCTGTCTGGTAATAGGTGTTGGTACTGCTGCCGCCTTGATTGGCAGCAGTGTATGAGCAGATCAAGCGCATTAGTGGAATGCATCGATTTTCTCAATTATTCTAAACTTGTTATTTTATTCATCATCATCTACTGTAAACTTACTCTCTCTCTCTCTCATTCACTCGTTCTCTGCCTATTACGTCAGCTTCATTATTGTTCAATAGAATCATTACTTTCATTGCATCGATCACTTTTATACTACTTCGTTGTATCTACAGGAGAAAAAAAAGAAGACAATCATTATATTTCATTTCTTCTTCTTTTTTTGTGTCCTCGATCACTTTGTGCGAAAGAAAAATATCGACGACAGTTACTCTTACGGTAGGTGTTCTATTCATCCATTCATTCTCTCTTTCACATATTACCGTGAAGCCTATATATCAACGTAAAGTTTTGTACACATTAAAAGCAAAAAACGAAACGAGAAGTAAAACGACTAGGAGTGATACCTTCAATTGTTTAGACTAAACGAAACTTACGCCTTCGTTTTTTTTCCTTAGAGCGACATAATGTTTTCATTTCTAAAAAAGACGTAAGTAGTTAATTATTAACCAAACATACTTGCAACAGATGTCTTGTTTGATTTCATAGAAAAATTAAAAAAGCTGAACCCATTATCGTCAATGAAAATAAAGAAAACACCGGCGTCTACGATTATCCAACATCCGCTGTATCAACGCTAGCACATGAC